TTTTTATTTTTAAAATGATAAAATTAATTTTTATTTTAATTATAAATAGTATGTATTAATTTTTTATTGATTTATTTTAAATTAAAGATAAATTTTAATTTTTTATTTAAAATTTTATATTTTTTAAAAAATTATCATAATTATTATTTAATCATTACTTTTTATCATATACCATAAGAGTACATAATAAATAAACTCATAAATATATTCAAACAAGAAACATATCCATGTTGACGCTTGGCATAAAATAAAGTCGTGTGAAGTTAAAAAGTCAAAAGAATAAAAAGAAAGGTTTATCTCATTTGTGTAATAAATATATTTTTTATAATTAATTCATAAAAAATAATAAAATTAATTTTTATTTTAATATTATTATCATATAAATAATTTTAATTAATCAATTAATTAAATTTAAATTAATTTTTATTATTTTTTTATAAATTAATTATAAAAATATATATTTATTGTGTTCTTAACTTATACTTAAAGATATATCATACAAAAATTTACAAAATAAAAAAATAAAAACTTGGATCTAGCACATCATGATTAGGTAGAAGTCGTCCCACATCATACATTTATTTTCTATGGTGGAGAGCCCATCATGATATGCAAGTCGACCACTTATTCTTATCTCTAATAGGACATAATAATTATTCATTTTATTATTTGCCTGTGCTCGGCAATATTAATTGGGTAGGGAAATATCATTGCAATTTCTAGGAAATGACACATATAAATACCACATTCCCTCTCTTGGGTTTCCAGAGAAATTAATTGCTTTCCAAGTCAGAATTCAATGGCTCGGTTTATCTTTCTTTTCCTTGCCTTACTCGTTCTGATCACTAATGTTACCATTATTAGCATTTGTAATGGCAACTCTGTTCATGCGGTCTGTATTGAGAGCGAGAAAGAAGCCCTTTCGAAGTTCAAGCAAGGTATCGTGGATCGCACCAATCGATTGGCCTCTTGGGTTTCTAATGGAGATTGCTGTAGATGGACGGGAATTATTTGCGACAAGCCGACAACATAACTGGTCACGTCATTGAACTCCACCTCAGAACTACTGCTCCATGGGAGGTCGGTTACTTTGTGTACGATTATGGGGCTAATGAGGCCTATGAGAGGTCGATGCTAGGTGGTAAGATAAGTCCTTCTCTGCTCCACTTGAAACATTTGAGTTATTTGGATCTCAGCAACAATGATTTTGGAGGAATTCAAATCCCCAAGTTTTTTGGTTCTTTGGAGAGTTTAAGATACCTTAACCTCTCCCGTGCAAATTTTGGAGGGGAGGTTCCTCACCATCTTGGGAATCTCTCTAATCTGAAATATCTCAATCTTGAGAATGATTATTATGTCGTGTATGTTGAGAATCTCCAGGTTGTCTAGTCTTTCTTCATTGGAGTACCTTGATTTGAGTTATGTGGATCTTAGCCAAGCCTTCAATTGGTTTCATGCATTAAATGCACTTCCTTCTTTGGTAGAATTACACTTGTCATCCTGTCAACTTCCCTATCAACTTTATCCCATTGCAAGTGTAAATTTATCATCTCTTGCTACACTTTCTCTTTCTCAGAATTCTTTCCAAAACTTATCAGTGATCAATTGGGTTTTTGGTCTCAAGAACTTGATTTCCCTTGATCTATCAAATAATGATATTGAGGGTCCAATCCCTTATGGTCTTCGAAATTTAACTTTGTTGAAGCACCTTGATGTGTCATACAATCATTTCAATTCTTCAATACCTGAGTGGTTGTACACTTTTGCTCCTCTTGAGTCTCTAAATCTTGAGTTTAATGATTTGAGTGGTCAAATTTCAAGTGAGATTAAGGATGGCAACGGGTCCCCACGGGGGCGGGGACCCCCTCCCCATCCCCATTCCCGTCAATGGCGGGTACGGGGATCTCCGCGGGGATTTTTGGCGGAGGGTTAAAAATTGCCTCCGTCCCCATCCCCGCGGGGAATAATAAGTCCCCGTGAGTATTCGGAGTCCCCGCCAAATAAAACTATCACCTATTTCACTGCTTTATCTTTCAGGTTCCATAAAACCCTTTTTTTGTATTAACTTCCTAGCTGTTAGTTATGTCAGTATGTTACCATCTAGCTCAATCATAAAATTTCAGAAAAAGCAATAGTAAATATAATAAATGAACAATGAGAAGGGCAACGCAAAGGACAAACTCATCTCAGTCAAAGATCCGAGTAAGTATCAATTAAAGTAGCACAATCCAAATTGTAGTCATATATATTTTAAATTAAAATTCATCACCATAGAAAATGAAAAGATATTCAAAATTCATTCTTCATGTAGCAAGCGCAAGTTGATACACATACACATACCATCTGCAATAAACAAAATGTGCCTCAAAATCAATTATTTACCAAACTAGCTAACCTCAAATTACGAAATAACTAACCTGTTCACTATGACCCTGTGGGAAATAAACAACCCTACTTCCAACAGGAGGTAGAGAAACAAGAGGTCCCGCACATGCATGCCAAAGTTCAGAGTTGAGAACCCTTTTTTCCCCTGCAAAACATATTTTACGTTAATGCAAAACTCCAACCAAAAAGCAAAATGAAGATATAAACAACTACAATCATATTGATCTTAACCACTAAAGAGTAATGCAAAATAGGTCATCTAAAGGTCTTATGATGACCTTGAACACCTTCCAACAAACATGGGTCCACATTAAATTCAAAATTAAAGCTTGTTATCACATGATGATTAGAACATACTCTACAACTGCAACTTGAGCTAGACCTTTGTTCAGTTGTTTCACATGTTTCTTTGAAGCTTCAACAATCATAAGCTGACATATGGACATGATATTGGAACAAATGGTCAATATAGACTCTAGCATTGCATCAAGGCCTTGCAGCTGAACAATGGGAGGATCTTTGTCATTTACTCTAAAACAAAAAATGCTTCATCTTTGAGGAATTTTAACTAGCAATGAATAAAACCATCTATCAAGATGAGAGGAAAGGTATACACCGAGTTATGGCGACTAGAATTTATTGCCCCAGTCAATCGGGAGAACGACCTTAAGTTGCAGGGTAGCAAGGGCCAAGGGCTGTAGTGATGGGCCGATGGCACCGTGAGTGAGTCCATCTGTCCGTGAGATGTCGAGAGTTGAAGGGTATCGCTGTGATTCTGTGAAGGTGAGTCGATCGAGAGAGTAGGGCACGGTGAGTAGCAGAGTCGGTGAGAGGTGAGAGCTGAAGGAGTGAAGGGAAGCACCGATTGGTCCAATTCACAGTGGGCTGTGGAGAATCTGGAGATGAGGGCTGAGTTTGAGCATGAGTGAGAGTGAAGAGTGTGAGTGTGACAGAGGATTAGAGGAGAGGTCCGAGAGGAAAGTCGCAGAAGTGGGAAATCCCTAATTCAGAAATCAGAATTTGCAAGAAGCGGCTGCGGCAAGCAAAAAAGGGGGCTGATTTTCGGCTGAGTAAAAATGTAAAATGTGGCAGCTAGGGTTATATGTAAATTGGGCTGAAAATTGGGCTAAAAATTGTGAATTTGGGCAATTAAGTTTAGGAAATAAGGATATTAGATTCAAAAAAAAAAAAATTGGGTTGTGCTGAGAAGTGAGAATTGGGTTTGGAAAATTTGAATAAAGAATGGATTGTGAAATTTAAGTTATGTTGGTATTGGATTAGTTAATTAAGTTGGGTAAGTAAAAATTAATTGTTAATATATGTACAAAAAAATATATATAAATAAATTTATATATTTTTTATTTTATATGGATCCCCACGGTTCCCCACGGAGTGGAGAAAATTCCCCGCGAAATTTCACGGGTAAAAATTGCCTCCATCCCCGCCCCACGGGTAAGAATATTCTGAGAATCTCCATCCCCGTGGCGGGGATCTCCGTGAAGCTCCGCGGGTCGCGGATAAAATTGCCATCCTTAAGTGAGATAGACAAAATGAAATTTATTGTTGACCTTGATTTATCCAATAATAATTTTGAAGGTAGAATCCCAATTAGATCAATGGGAAATCTTTGCAACTTAAGGTCACTCTCTTTCTCTGTTGTTAATTTGAGTCTAGACATATCAAATATCTTAGAAGTGTTTTCTAGGTGTGTTTCTAATAAATTAGAGTCATTGTCCTTGGATGATTGTCTGCTCTATGGACAATTAACCAACCAACTAAGGAACTTTAAAAATTTGAGAGAGTTACATTTGTCTAGAAACTCTATTTCTAGTTCAATACCAGAATCCATAGGAGAGCTTTCATCCTTAAAAAGTTTATATCTCTCTCAAAACAAATTGAAAGGAAATCTTCCTGAGTCATTTGGTCAACTTTCTAATTTAGAAGTTGTTGATATATCAGATAATTTTTTGGAGGGTACTCTTTTTGAGAAACACCTTTTTAACCTCACAAAATTGTTAGGTTTGATTGCAAATGGGAACCCATTGATTTTGAAGGTTGATCCTAGTTGGATTCCTCCTTTTCAAATTCAACGCTTGGAATTAAGATCTTGGCATTTAGGACCACAATTTCCACATTGGCTTACTTCTCAAACACACCTAACATATTTAGATATCTCAAATGCTGGAATAACAAGTACTATCCCTAGTTGGTTTTTGGACTTGTCTCATCATTTGAGTTATTTGAATCTCTCTCAAAATCGTTTTCATGGGCAACTTCCAAGTATATCTCAAATCTTCTCCCATTTGACTATCTTAGACCTTTCCAATAATGTTTTATCAGGTTCCCTTTTCAACTTTTTGTGTCTTCAGGTCAATGAAATAAAAAATCAAATGTTTATTCTCAATCTTGGCAACAATTTTTTGTCTGGAGAGTTACTAGATTGTTGGTCCAAGATGCCATCTTTACAAGTCATTTTATTAGAAAACAATACTTTTACAGGTAAAATTCCAAGCTCCATAGGAACTTTACGAGTCCTTAGATCATTGCATCTACGTAAAAATAACATTTCAGGAGAAATTCCTATGACCATAAGGAATTGTACAGCTTTGCGGACCCTTGATTTTGGTGAAAATGAATTGGTTGGGAACATCCCATCATGGATGCGTCATAATCTTCCATACTTGAAATTATTGAGCCTTCGTTCAAACAAGCTTTTAGGACATATCCCTGAAGAGTTGTGTGCACTCAGTTTTCTCCAAGTCTTGGATGTTGCTCATAATAAGCTTTTAGGAAGCTTACCAAGTTGCATTGGTAACTTCAGTGCCATGGTTTATTATGTAAATGGCTCATTTGGGAACTACATTGCGCTAGATGGCTTATCTTTTATTGAGAATTTATTGCTTGTGATAAAAGGCCAGTCTTATGAATATGGCAGGACTCTTAATTTGGTAAGAGTCCTTGATTTGTCAGATAATAGTTTATCTGAAGATATTCCTTGGGAAATAACTAAGCTTCAGGGGTTGCAATCACTAAATTTGTCACACAACCTTCTCACTAAAAGGATCCCTCCAAATATTGGTGACATGAGTTCACTAGAATCTCTTGATCTTTCTGTAAACAAATTGCTTGGGTCAATCCCTGAAAGCATGTCTAGATTGTCATTTCTAAGCTACTTGAACCTTTCTAGCAACCAATTGACTGGAAAAATTCCTTCAAGTACTCAGTTACAGAGCTTCGATGCATCTTGTTACACTGGAAATGAACTTTGTGGCCTTCCACTAATGAAGAAGTGCAATGAAGTTAATCAAAGAGTACCCGGCACTGGAAATAATGGGGCCAAAGATATGAATGGAGTTAGAGTGAATTGGTTTTTTGTTAGCATGACACTTGGGTTTATTTTGGGATTTTGGTGTGTATTGAGTCCTCTTGTGATTAGTCGGCAATGGAGGTATGCATACTATCAATATTTGGATGAGATGTGGTGGAAAATGCAGTCATTATGGGTGTAGATTTTTCTAAAATCTCATGTAGTTTTGTTTACAAGTGTATTTCTCTTCATGTTCTTGTGATATATTACAAAGCATCACCTCTCCGTTTTTCAACAACTTTTTCTTTATTTTTTGTTATTCACAATGAATCCGTAAAATAGTTAAATATAAAAGAAAAAAAATTAGCGAACACCAATTTCAAGCTCCTCAGCTTAAAATTCAATACATACATCAATAAGAATATTATATTAATTGTGATTCAAGAAATTCAATGAAAATTAAAAGAAAATCAAAAAAATATGTCCTTTTTTTGCTGAAACACTTGTTTAAATTGTGATATACTTAGGTGGAACCTAGAGAATATTGGAATTTCAAACAAGAAAAAAGAAAGGAAGGAAGAAAACTAATGGGTTACAAAAATAGAATTGAAAAGCAATGCCCAGCAAAGAATTCTATGCTACAATGACTCCCGCTATTGTTCATTAATACATTATATAATATATTTATAAAAAGATTATTATTATTTTATTTAAAATTAAAAATAAATAAATTTA